TTTAGACTATAATTTTGTTTATTTTGGTATTATATTCACTGAGTTACAATCCTTCAAAGTAGAGCTATCAAAGCTGAAATATTTGTTTGTTTAGACTATAATTTTGTTTAATTTTGTTTGTTTACGTATCTTTGACAGATAAATCATATGAAAGGGATCTCGATAGAGTACCGGAAAATTATGACTTTAAAGTTGTAACCGAAATGGTGAAATTCTTTGAAAAATTCAAAACAAAAACAGAGCTTGTTTCGGCTACATCAAAACTTTTGGTAAATCTTTTTATCCGGGAAGTCTTAGATGTGGACATACATCTAAGAAAGTGGTCAACCAAACCAATGTTTCTCGATATGGTAAAAGATATGAGGACGAAATACGACAAGTATTGGGGTGCATACAACAAGATGAACGATTTTATGTACTTTGCGGTTTTACTTGATCCTACCACCAAATCACCTTTTTTGTTACATGCTTTTAAAAAAATGATCGGGTACATGGAACCATCATTGACCCCCGCGGGCATGGACATAAAAGCACGTCAAATGGTCCGAGAGGTTGAGAATAGGATGAAAAATTTATTTATGACCTACTTGGAACGATTTGACAGCGATGGATCATCTCAACAAGAAGCGAGTCAAATAGTCATTGATGTTGATGATGATAACGATTTTTTCGGTGATTTTCTTTGTACGGGAGGTAGCAACTCGGATCCAACGGATAACGAGTCATTGATGTCAAATAGTCATTGATGTTGATGATGATAAAAAATTTGTGTCGTTTAGTAAAAAAAAAAAATACACTTAATATTTTATATACTTAGCATATTAATTCCAAAACCATGCTCATTTGTGTTGTGCCTCTTCAATTTAAAGATTTTATGATATTCTTATTAAATAAAAATTAATAGACAAATAGATTGAACAAGAAAAAAGGAATCTCGACAAAAATAACATTGTTTATTTAGGGTTTGAAGACAGCTTGACCTTTAAATCCTATATTTAATGTTATTTTCAAAACGTATCCAAGTTGAATACAAATTGAGAAATTAAATATCATATTATTTTTTTTCCGTTTTTTTTTTATCAATTTTGATGTTGATAATTGTAATTAAAAAAATATTAATTTTATTAAATATGACAAGGTCATGTTGAATTGTTTTTTTTGGAAGGATATTTGATTTCCCATACAAATTATTTTCTCATACAACTTATTTAGGTTTCAATACAAATCGATAAATGATTATTTTAATCCATATTTATTGCAATTTTTTTGGACGCACAATTATCCACAGTACTCGCATATATTATCCTACTACTGTTTTGCATGTCTCAAGCAAAACGCTTTTACCCTCCCAATTGCATCTTCAAGTACTTTCGGTTCTGAAGCAAAACTCACTCGGACCCAGTTCTTCAAACCGACAGCATACCCTACAGCGATATTACAATACACCAATTAATACACTAATATAAAGGAAGGACCACTATTTGCGTTTAGGATTGCGAGAGATTATAAGGGTGTTCTTTTACCCGGAAAAAGGATGATCGATTCCTCTTTAGCCAACTTCATACAGAAGTCTGTATCATCAACTACGTCATCAAAAGCTGATATATTTATCTTGACCTGCAGAAGCAGATCATATGCATTATTTAAAACCTTCTATATAGAACCAATACTAGTGACATTATGATAAATCTTTACCATGGCAAACATTGAGCCCTCGGGTTTATGTGGGCATTCAAGAAGGGGTATCTCCTTAAGTCTCTCATAAAACAAGTCCGCTGCCTCCTTTAGTAACTTGTTGATGTTCAAGAAGAAAGACTCTGGTGTGTTCTCCATAATGTGGGGAACTGCCGCCTGTAGATGGTGGATATGATTAAATTAACTGAACATGAAATACTCATTAAGATCGAAGACTGGAATCATATACCTGAATTACAGTGGGTGGGTCTGCTGTTAACTCGAGACAACTCTTTATGGAACTAGAAATCTGACACGATCATAAATGTACCACAAAAGGAAAACTTGATATGTGATATGGAAGTATATAAAAATATGATAAATATTCAAGAAACGGGCAAGAAAGAAAAAAGGAATAGAGAAAAACCCCAGTTTTGTGAAGAATGCCAGTAGGATCAGTTATTGCTATCCAACCAAAGCGCCAACCTGGAACAATCCATCGTTTTGATAATGTCCCAAGCGTCACAACTGGTGCTATATCTCCAAATACTCCCATGGGGATGAATGGGTTTTCTCCAAAAACTTGATAGGCATAAACTTCGTCTGCTATCACCAAAATCCCAAGTTGTCTTGCTGTTTCTGCTATCTTGAATTATAGAAAAAAAGAAAGAAGTGTAACAAAGGATCAAATAAACCTGTCTTAATGTTTTTCTTTGGTTTGACTTGTAATTATTAACCAAAAGGTATCACATAATATTTATCTTGACTTTAAAATCTGAAGTGTATACTATATATATCTATGGTTGTGGAATGAAATGAAGTTACACGCAATAACCACACCTTTTGCATATGCTCAAATGTGAAAACGTTTCCACAAGGATTCCCTGGGTTAATGAGAACTATAGCCACCGTGTTATCGTCTGCCAAAGCTTTGACACCATCAATATCAACTTCCCAACCTTTCTCAGCGATGAGATCAAAATGACGAACCTCAAGTAGATTACATCGACTTTGAGCTTCATATAATGAATAGTTAGGTCTAGCAAAGAGTATATTTGCACCGGGTCTAGCAAGAACTTTCACTAAAACTTCGATAGCATGGTTTGCTCCAACTGTTAGAAATATGTCATCGGTTGTTAACTTGTAGGGAAGGTCTCTTGATAGATGCTCCGCAACAGCCCTATTATCGAACCAAACAGATAGTTTAAGGCGTGTTCCCAACCCTCAGGAGCATAATCAAAATCTGGATATGTTGATGAATCTTTAAATGAAAAGAGTATTAAGTTAAAGAAAGGTAGCAAACCTTCTTGCAGGAATAATTCCAACTCCTGGAGCATAACAGTTATACTTGGCGGATCGAATGGCTTCAACAAGTGCATCTTCGACTACTGTAGATGTTTGAAAGCAAGGATAAACAGAAGGATCACCATGTCCAAGATGAATCATTGGTTTTCCAGTCCGTGTTTCATCAATGTTTCCAATGATGGCTTGAAGAATGTTTCTGACCGTTATAGCTGCAGCAGCATGCAGCTCATGGTTCTCCTTGAAACCCCATTTCTGCTTCTCCATTCTTCTTCCTCTTCTTCCACTATTTTTCCTTCGTTTAAGATAGCAATCGAGTGATTTATGAGCGCTCAAATGTGGTTGTTGGGGACAGGTGGGTCCCTACACAACCATACGTGCTTGGACTTGCTGCAGGTAACAATCTTCCTGGCAATTACACTAGCATGATGATGGGAGTATTGTTCAAAGTTATTTTGACTCTGGAATATTTATTGAAGATAAAATTTTGAACTCTTCACTTATCTCTGGAGGTGTCTTTTGGCGTGATTATGTTTTTTGTCATCTTGTAAGTCACCTAACGAACAAAAAAAAAAAAAAAAAACAATAAATCTTTTATGATTAAATTATAGTATATATTTCAAAATAACTTTCGCAAATTGTGGTTGAGAGATTCTTTTATTCAAAATCGGAACAAAAGAAGAGAATTTACAAACGTACTGTTACAGGAAAAACAATCATATGTAGTTAATCTGTATTTTTATTCTATATAATTTAAGAAGAGTTTTGCTGAGTTGTTGAAAACAACACATATTTAGACCTCATGACATGACATGTGCAATTCGATTCTATTTTTGAAAAATAGCATGTTGTAAAAGATCATTTTCTGACATGTCGTTATATTGGGAATGACTCTCCCCTGGGCTGCAATTACGTCTTATGTATTTGTCCGTTTATTGTAGCGTTTAATCTTTCGGTTGCCATTGTAACCAGTCGTTTTTGTGTGTATAAATGAGACTTTCTTGGAAAAATAGTTCAACAAACAATTTATTTATGCTAATTTTTCTGTATAGATGTTGACTTGTGAGTTTTCTTATTGGTTTGTTATTTTCTATCGAAATTGAACAATATTGCTAATTGAGGTATCTACTATTCGTTGCTTTATTTTGCATTATTTGTTTGATCATGCCATGGAAATGTATTTTGTTACCGATAAGAGTAACCTGATAGCGAAATTCAATGGATTGCTCAAACGATGAAACATATGTCTTTGTTCGTAAAAATCTTTCCTGATTGAAAATCGAAAATGATAAATAGGAATTAGTGGAAATGAATTATAACAATTTAAATTATTTGAGTGTTCGTTTTCATTGGTGCGGTGTAATTTTTATTAAATACATCATGTAATATTTGTTCAACAAATATCATATATTGTAAACTTTTTTCCATGTTGCAACTATTAGACACGACACATTATTATTATTATGTATAATTTTCTACTAACCGAATATGATTCCATTACCTTTCCAAGAAACCGACACACCTTTCTATATATTTTGATTATGATATACCTTGTCTTCTTTGATTACTTTTCTCAATAAAATTTAGGTACGAGAAAATAGAAATACGTTTGGTTAATTTATCCACATTATTATTATCTCATATTATTATTTTAAAGTGTATGCCTCACTATATTGAGTCAATTTGATATTTACATTGTATTATGATTATTTTTAGTCATTTTATCCACATTAGTATTATTCTCATATATTATTATTTTAAAGAGTAGTTGTCACTACATTGAGTCAATTTGATCTTTACATTTACTTATGTACTTTTATTAATTTTCACAATAAAATTTATGTCCCAAAAAATAGAAATGAGTTTAGTCAATTTATCTATATTATTATGATCTCATATTATTATATTAAAGTGTAGTCTTCATTACATTGCGTCTTTTTTACTTGCCAATCAGTCATCGTCTTATGATAAAGATGGTCATGATTATGTACCATTTAAGAGTACTCATAATTACATTTTGTCTTTTTCAGTTGCAAAAAGTCTTATGAATTTGAAGAGGCCGACATACCTTTCTATATTTATTGATAATATATTTAGTTTTGATCTTTACATTTACTCTATCTACTTTGATTACTTTTTCAATAAAATTTAGGCCCTGAAAAATAGAAACATATGCTCTCACCAAATACACCAACATTCAAAATGTGCTACAACATGATCTCGATAGGAGAAAAATGTCAACGAGAAGATTAGGAAGGTTTTTAGTGATGTTGGTGAAGAGTATGAAGCGAATGATAAATTGTTGAATGAAATCAAATATTTGTTAGACTCACTAGAGCACATGATATTAAAACGATTTCTCATTGATCTAAAGAACATATTTTTTTAGACAACGAGGGATTTGTTGCATGTTCTTATATTCATTGAAAAGTCGATCTAGGAGCAACATATGTTACTTGAAAGTTAGTTGATGTTTAATTTAGACCAGTTTAAAGTAACCACTAAGAGGATCCAAATACATGAAGTAAAAAGATAATAACAAGCATATGAAGATCCCACTTGGAATTAAGGCGTTGATGAAGATAACAAAAACATAAGAAAGCGTTTCTCTATAATCATCCACCATCAACAGTAAGGCACTTGGAATCCTTGTTCCCATCTTGCATAAAGAGATTTCTTAAGCCTTTACGTGCTTTTCTAAAGTAAACACTAAATGAGAAACACTTATGAACACCTAAAGTCTTGCAACAAGCTTTAAAAGAACAACAGAGGAAGAGAGGAAAGAGGCTATGATTTTGGAGCTTCACAAGGCCAAAAGAACTAGTTTTCTCATGCACAACACTCACTTATATATCCCCATGCAAGTAAAGCAAATCACTTATAATAGTCTAAATTAATATAAAGGAGAGTAAACATGGGGTATACGTAAGGGGAGGTTGACAAGAAACCTCCCATGCCCATATAAAACCTAGGCCACATGGTTAAAAGAAGAGGACAAAAAGTTAGGGTAGTTTCTTCAACTAAAAAACTAACGAACTAGTAAGTCCATAGTTAAACAAAGTTTCTAAAACATTTGTACATGACTTATTAATCGTATTATATGGTATAATAATTAGTTATACTCTCTTTAATTATTATTTTCATAAAAATAAAAATTATTCCCTAATTAAATACAACAATTGATATTATTTATTAATAATCATATTAGTAATGAACATTCAAAGTGTGTCAATTTGACAAAGGTATGACCCTATATGATCATATGTTATTAGTAATATCATTTAATAATGATTCTTGAGGATATATACGCAACAATCTCCCACTTTCACATTATTCATTATAGATTTACATAGATAGTAACTGACGTCTAGCAACGAGTTACTCCCCTAACAAAACACAAAGGGGTTCCATCTTATCAACAACCAATTACAGGAGCTCAAATCTACAATTGTTGTTAAATGTGTGGTATCAATTATTCATTTGTCTCAGGCATCATGTTGAACATGAGATATGGATCTCGATCAAACTCATGTGGTGTTCAACTTTTAGTAAGTCCATAGATGTTAACTATCAATGAATAAGAGGAACAAATTCCATATTGACTACATATGCCTATCATGTAGTTCATGTTTTACCTAATGATGACCCTTATAACTGCCTTTTACAAAACAATTTTAAACCATGTCAAAGCACATCAATTCCTACACTTAAGTCCTAAATATGTATCTCATTTCAACGAATAGAAGGATACTACGTTGATGAAAACATCACTCATGACTGCGATCAATAAAGTGATTTTGATACGGATCACGTCCAATACTTATTCTCTCAATCGAGTACCTATGAATTTGGTAGCAGCTCTTCAATTTTCATCTCCATGAAAATCAACCAATCCATTCATATTAGTCTTACCTCATAGGTTCTCCCACAACTATGAACGACTATGGTCATTTAGAATAACCAAGTTATTCGAGGATTAAACATGCTAATATAGAACACAAAAATTATTTAATGAAAAGACTATATCCAATATATAAGGCCATTACAATATATGTTGCTTGTATTGTTCCAATATCCAAATACTAAATTTATATCATTTCCAATCACTTAGAACAACAAGCTCCTATAGCACCAACTTGACTTTCATACTTTAGCTAATGAAGGAACTTAGTTAAGTAGATTCGGGAAACTTGATGTGTATAAACTTTACGAATACCAAAATTTTCATATATATATATATATATATATATATATATATATATACCTTGTATATAGAGAAACCCCTTGACAATGCTCTAGATGGTTAAATATGACTCAGATACTAATACTGGTGTAATGAGATTACTCATAATCATAATGAACAAATCATTTAATTATCTTCATATGTGGTTCCCCGAACAACAAACTATTCTAACCTGATGTGTAACTGTAATTAAAATATGTATGGAACTCCCATCCATGCAATTTCACCTTCACTCATAATGAGGACACACCCGATTGTGATTAAGGGTCATCTCAATCTATTTGGAAGTTTAGCATATGTGTAATAGTTTAAAAATAACTGTAATTAAAATATGTATGGAACTCCCAACCATGCAATTTCACCTTCACTCATAATGAGGATACACCCGATTGTGATTAAGGATCATCTCAATCTATTTGGAAGTTTAGCACATGTGTAATCGTTTAAAAATAGCCTTCTTTCAAATACTCCGCAGATTAGGAATATTTCTTCAGTTCTTCATAAGTACTTTAGAATGTTCCTATCAATCGTATGATGACTTATTCTCGGATTATGCTAGTATTTTTTCCTCATGCTCCAGGCATATGATTTATCTGGCTTTCATGCATAACATGACATATGATTAATCTAATTGCAATAGCATATGAAATATAATCATACTATCTAGTTCAACTATAGTACTAGGATTCTAAGGCATGCTCAAAATCATGTCATGTAGTATTGACAAGATAAACTCTCTTAGAGTCTTGTATCTTAAGTTCTTTAAGAACATTGATAATTAATGCAATTTTACTTAATCTTTTAAGTTGCCATGATCTAATTTTATAAATGTTTATTCAAAGAATTAGTACAACGATCACATACAAGACTAGGAATGTTACTACGCTCCCACTAGCTTTGTAGAAAACACAAGAGTCATCTTGATTTGTAATTAAATCACACTATGTAGTTATCTTATAAGAAAGAAGATTCTTACTTTGAGATGTTATGTTAAATCTATAAAGATTTCCATCCATGTATGTTTTCTTCTTTGAAAACTCACTTA